GATAGGAAAGAGTGGAGGCGCGTCTCCAACCAGTCTTAGGACTGACGACCTTATGATGATGATTATTTTAATAAACAATTTTACGATCACGTGCACTGTTAATTCCCATGTGATATCCCTAATTCAAGTTGCAAGTTTTGCCAGCAGGTGGTGTACGGTGTAGGTACGGCCATTTGAGGTCCATTTTCGTTCTTCCTTATTCTCATTATCTTTCTGTCTTTCTCCCGGTGTAAAACAGTTAAATTAAAATAGCCAATGAAGTAATAAATTGAGATCATTGTAAGCGATCGAGACCGACTTTATTTAATCCGTTCACGACCTCGGGCTTATCATGTATTCCTCGTCTTTAACAAGTTTATACGCCGAGTGTTGGCGTCTAGAGACAACCCAGGTACAGGTACAAAGTCGTACCTGCTCGCGTATGAAAACAAGACGTAAAAGAAAACCATCAACAACAATAACTTAATAGAGGAAACAACAACAATCTATAAGTGCGCGATTACAATAACGGTTTCTGTTTACTGTTTGCTTTTTGCAACGACCGTTGAGAGTATTCTTTAATTTTTCTTTTTCCGATTTTCTTCATCTTTTTTTTTGAAATCGCGCTGGCTGCCTGCCTGCTTGCCTGTGTTACCGTCTACTCAAAGGTACCGAGCGAATTTCGATACGATCTGATTATAGAGTGCGTTAAAGTAAGCAGGGGCGTTATTATTTATTGGCCCCACATATCGCGGATTCCACTCGAACGAACATTGTTCGCCTTCCCATATCGCCTTCAACCTATTCGCATACCGGGTGGAAGCTGACAATTATAAACAGAAAGGTATTCAAGAAGAAATTACTCCAAGGGCGTAGGCTTTTAGTGTTTCAATCATGTTTCAATTTTTAGGGGATTCCTAGAATTTCAGTAGTAGATATAAAGTGCGTTCAGATTCAGATCACTAAATCTATCTACAATGAATTAAAAATGATATGTTTACAGTAGAATCCGCTTATAATGACATAGAAGGAAAATGACAAACACTTCATACTAAGCGGGCGTCATACAAAACATAGTCTTAGAAAATAAACAACTTTCTATTTTGGTTAGTTATTTAGTTTAATAGAGAGAAAAACTACAAATTGTAGATATTTATTAACAGAAAAAAAACGATGAATTGTAATAACAATATATACATAACATATTTTGTCATTTTTTACATAAGAAATCAAAAATGCAGGAGCAGGTGTAGGAAGGGTCAGAAAAATGAGCGAAAAGATTATTATTAATCATTTGGGTCACTATAGCCGGATATGATTTCTTGAGAATCAGTCATAATAAACGATATGTCATTTTAAACGGAGCCATTATATCCAAACTTTTCTATAGAGAATTGAATATAAAAACCAAACTTGACTCTGCAATTACTTCATATTAAGCGGTTGGGCAATATAGGCGGAGTCATAATAAACGAATTCCACTGTAATTACTTGTTGTATCAAGAACTATTGGAACACTATCAAAGATTATAGACTTTTGGAAATTTTCGAACAGTATCAATAGATTAGTTCGTAGTGGATAAAGGTCAAGTAAAGTTGATTCGAAGTCCGAATCTGAAGGCACCTTTTACATACTTAAATTATGGGAAATCCCTAAAAATTAACACTATTTCTCTACTAAAAGCAAATTGAAGATTAATTTCGTTGATATTGTACCAACAAGGCGCCAATATGTTTTAATGTGTACAAAAACTCGTTCAAAACTTGAAAAAAAGGTATGCGTTTTTGTAGAATTTGTTACATATATCACATTTATAGACAATTACTAATAGTTATCATTGTACCGATAACAATAAGGGATAGATAACTAAGAATATATTGGTAGATACATTGTTTTTAGTTCATAACGCACCTATTGCCTACTGAAATTCTGGGAAACCCCTAAAAATTGACACAGTTCATATTTCTTCGCTGAAACCTATTTGAAGGTTAATTTCATTAATATGGTACCAACTAGGTACTATTCGCTTTAAAAATAGATGTTCTTTATTAAAATTGTACAGAAGCTTGTTTAAAACTTGAATAGAACGTACGCATTTTTGTAGAAATTGGAGTTTGGAATATCACCAATTAAATCAAACTACCAAAATTACATTATTTAATGATGATAATGATATAAACTTTTTTGCCTTATGTTTTTCATGCTATTTCCAATCGCAATAAAACCAGACTAAGTTGCAATCCGAACCCGGTCCTGAGAGAGAGAGATTGTGATATCAACTAAATAATTACGTCAATGAAAAATGTAAACAGTTATTAATTATCCCAATTTTTGATTATCCGAATAGAGTCCGGCACCAATCGATCGAGATAATTGGAATTCTACATGTATTTTACATTTTATTTCAGTGAATAGTTCAGTAATCCTTTCTTGTCGTACAATTTCCGTTTAAACGTAAACCTACCAAGTCATTATCATTTACTTGAGAACTACTTTAATTATTATTAATAATCAGTCGCCCTATATATTCAAGCACGTGACTACTAGTCATCGTTCGAGTTCTGCTGGCATTAAAACGTAACTACCATGCGTATCCCACTAGATAACAACCGACTTTAACCAGTGGCTGTAAGACCTCAAAATAACGGCATTGGAAACTGCGGAAGTTAATTGTTTGTATGTCTGTTTCGGCTTATCAATTGAGAAAATTGGTATTTCGTATGCGTAATGTCCACTTACATAACAAAAGTTAGAACACCAACGAATTTGCACACTCTTGCTCAAATATATATACTCTTTCAAACAATTTTTATTAAGGAATGTCCAAAATTAGACCCAAACTTAATTTTTAAGGATTACACTTTTTATAAGTATAAATTTAATAAAATTAAAGTTAATAATTATTTGTTATTTTTATTTTCTTTGCTCAATATTTTATATTTAATTAACTTAAAAAGATGTGTAGAGAATACAAACATTTGTCGAAAAAAAAATGTGATTTAGATTAATGCACTATTATGACATTAATAACACAAAAGTAATATATAATTTATTTACAACATCAGTAATAAATTTATTGTTCAGTAAAGAATATAACACATAGAATGGACCAGATAAAAATTGAACTCTGTATTATTCTGTAAGATTTTTAATAATTGATTCTGATATGGAACTGATCAGGTAACTGGATCAAAGGATAGAGTACTGTACTTTGATCGTTAGTATCAGCAATTTTTTATGGTGAAGTGTACGATGTGTTGCATATCTATTTACAAATAATTCCTTTAAATTTAATTTTTCAAACAATTTTTTAAACAAAGAAAGTGATTAAACAAGTTGTTCACAAAAGCGAGTTTGAGCCAGAATGTTATCTAGTCGTCGTCCTCGTCTTATCGTTAGTGGGTTTTTTATAATCAGAAGATCAGGTCACCTCACGTCTACATAGTAAGTGATGTAATCTGACCAAAGGAATATTTTGTGCTTGTTATTAATGTTGTCTTATTAGTAATTGCCGTTATTTGAATATAAGATTAACAACATCCTATTTTCAATTATTTTTATGCCTAGTGCATAAAAACATGAAAGCAGATTTTTAAGATAATTAAGCACCGATAACATTTGGGGTATTGTTTTATTTCGTTTTTCTTATATATAACTTAACAACGAAAAATCTTAACAATCCTTTAAATAACTCTAACGAAAGTTACATTATTTTATTTATTGTAATTTATTGAAAGGCGTCTGTATACGAACATGTCTATATGTTTAATATTAAGTCAAAGTCGAAGTTTTTCAACGTTTTTTAGTATTTTAGGTACTTATTGTAAACGGAAAACAATAAAACGTATATCATCCGAAAGATACTATTTCATAAATGTGTTCACAAAACAGAGGTCATTAATGTAATTAGATAAAGTTACTTTAGTGATGTACTTTATTTATAATTAAGGTTCGCATATCATGCAAGCCGCTTGTACACGATTCCCGCCCAATACAATACTTTTTTTTTAATCTTAATATTAGCTAAAATGTATTGATTCAGTATCAATATCAAATGCAAAATCTGATGATTAATTTCATATAAGAATTAATATCTAAATTTTCTGTTCTTGACAATAATTACATTTTCTTCGATTAAGTTATTAATAGTGAAAATTAATCACTTTTAGGCATAGATTTTTTAGAAATGACTTACTTATTTGGTATAAATAAAATGACCGATGGTATCTACGTTTTCTTGATGAAAATTCATGATCTCTTAATAAATAAACTCGAAGTAATTACAAGTAATACTTCTCAAGAAGCCTCAAGGAGGCGAAACAATTGTAAAGTTTATATTAATATATTGGTGGAAATTAATTTAAGTTTATTTATTTAGTATAAATAAAATATTAGAAATTGCAAAACGCGCAGACTAAGTCATTATTTGTTTAGTTACCAAATTACCATTAATATAAAAGAACATTTTTTTATTGAATTACTTGTATTCTTGGCATTTATAATGGGACGTTACATTAATACAAATATTACATTGATAATAAATATTTTTTTAAGTCTCCTTAAATCGACGAATACTTCAAAAACTCGCCGTAATAATGCTAGTGAGGACGCCAGTAGTATTTTATAACTGTCGATCACACGATGAAATTCGTTTGTCGTTATTTAGTACACCAATGAATCTACGAGTTTTAGGTGTGCAGTTACCAGAAAATAAGCTCACTTCTGCGGACATTTCTTAAATGTTTTTGTGTCAAAATTATTTCCAAAAGTTTATAAATATTTGTTGTTTAATCCTAATGGTTATGTTAATGTGTTATGTTACGATATTCTTTAATCTACTACTTCCAACCATTCCTGTGTTTGTTATTAATAGTATTTCTTCAAGGTCATGATTGCAATATTTATTAATTATCTTCAAAAAAACTATTATTTCATACAGTTTGGCCTTACTTCTCAACTACAAACGACTTTTTATAATATTTTAATTTGAATCAAGACGTTTTCTATTTTTTTTTTGCAGAGAACTACAGGGAATAACGATTTTAATATGGTGAAAATATGGCTGTTTATCCAACGATCTGAAATATTTTGGATGGAAAAGTTGACTGTTCGAATTTCTACTGGTCGTTTGTACCTATGGTACGATGAAAATGCCTTTTCTCCATTAGGAATGGAAAGGAAGAATTCATGAGAATGAACTAGTAAGTAACAGTATTAATTAAAATTAGTAGAACTTACATTTAATAGACAACTTTTAAACAACGCTTCAGAAATGGTAAAAGCAGAACAGCAGCATTAATGTGAAATTAACTTTTCCAGCGCTGAATGTAACATTAATACCTGCTAACTTTTATATGTACATTTTATTTTAGTCTCAGAGAAGATACAGGAAAAGGAGCATTAAATACATAAATTTTCAACATTACAGCTGCCTATTTTGATTATTAATTGATACATTGTGAAACTATTATTTTATCTATCAACTGACTAAACTTAACATTACGTTAAAATATTACTGATTTATTTGCTGTAAAAGTGGTAGTTAATTACTTCTTTTTGTCTGTTTCTATAGATTGTCGAACAGATTAGTTCAAGTTAATTTTGGACCTGCGAGAGGAAGGCAACTGGAAATAAACTTGGAAATCATTGAAACATGTCTATAGTTGTATCCTATCTGAATTTGGCTTACTCACCACTCTTCTAGACTATAGAACGCTACCTTCTGCAGTTAGTGAAGGTGATAATTCATTTCATAATTAGTATTAGTTTCTCTTATTTCTTTTAATAATTATCCAGTGTCCAAAGCGTATATTGAGGTTATTGTGTATCTATAGAATTCCTATTAACATTTATCTATTGTCCGCAGTATAAATTGAAGTTGTGCATGTTTTGTATTTCTTCTAACGAATATTTACTATCCACACCATAAATTGTCATTTTTGTTCTATGTTATTTCATATTTCTATGACGTTATCTATGTTATGGTGTAAAATGACACTTATCGTCATTTTATAATTCAGCTATTTTATCTGCTTTTTACTGTGCCTTTAGGTGTATTTAATCCAATCCTTAATTAATAGTTTAATTAATATGTTTTTTTGTCCATTTCTGCAGTTTGTCCAACAGATGAGCGAGAATTAAAGTTCAGTTTGGTCGTACTACAACAACTAATGAATACAAAGGTGTCGTTTTTCCTGGATTATATTAGTGAGACCAACTGAAGATTTACTTAAATTCCACTGAAGTAACAAATTTTCTAATACTGTATTCTTTCTGGATTAGTGGTGCTGCAGTGGTATCCCTCCCTGATTTGGCTTCTTTATCACACTATAGACTATGGAACGCTACCTTCTGTATTTAATTAAGGTAATAATGCATGACGTAATTAGTATTAATTGCTCTTTGTTTATCTGCTTTTTAGTGTGTCTTTAGCTGTATTTAATCCAATCCTTAATTAATAGAGTAATTAATGTGTTTTTTTGTCCATTTCTGCAGATTATTCAGCAGATGAGCAAGAATTAAAGTTGAGTTTGGTCATACTGAAAAACCAATATCTACATGGGTGTCGTCTTTCTTGGATTATATTCGTGATTTGCTGTTTTCTTCTTCACCTTGCAACATAATGCAGTTAACTTTCGATCGATGAGGGAAACCAACTGGAGATTTATTTGAATTCCACTGAAGCAACAAATTTTCTGATATGGTATTCCTCATGGATTTGGTTTACTTTTCACACTTGTGAACACTGAAATGTTACAGGCTAGAGTTAATTAAGGTGAGAGTACTTCATTTCATTGTAATTGCTCTTTATTAATCTGTTACCACCCTTTCTGTTTCAGATCGACAGTGGAGAAGACAAAGAAGACCCCGTAGTTAAAATTGTTCTTTATTTTGTATGCTCTATCTAATAGAATCAATTCTTTAAGTTCATTTTATTATAATCAATTTTCTATCTTGCATGTGTTTTATAGTTTATTTAATTGTTATTTTGCATGCTTATTTTAGTTTATTTTATTTGAATTAATTTTTTAATGTAGACGTCATTATTTTTTTTTTTGTGTGGTAGTAGTTATTACCGTATTAACACGTTTATTTTTTTTAGTAGTTGTAGTCTAACATGTCTCTTGCTTACCTCTTCGCTTAGCTTACTGCATATTCTTCCTAATTTGCTTTGCATTTACCCTACGAATTCTACATGATTCAACGTTTCGTTATCGTGTTCTTTTCTCTTCTCACCCTTGTGGAATTAGGGAGGGCCTCCCCGAACGACTTCCCTTGGGCTTAGCTTTTTAGTTGATCTTAAAAGTGTCTTATACACTTTTCGCGAGTCTACTCTAGCGTTACTTCCTTTCAGACGGGGTACAGTGGGTTATCTGGAATAGGAGCAATAGGCGACTGCCCAGCTTGCCTTGGCGAAATCTGTCCGATCTTCTCTACCAAAGCTATTAGT